CTTGAACTAAAGTACATATCTATTGAGGGGTAAAATATATAATTAAAACGCCTGAACTAGACAAGAACTATAAGCACATCAAGCAGAAGCCATTGATTATGTTAGGTCTCAAAATTATACAATATGCAATAAATATCTGTTACAGCAACAATTTTCTTTTAATTTCTGGGTTAATTATTATATGATAAACTAATAATTTTAAGATGTAAATACACTTAATTTAAATGACGTTATGCAAACATTTCTTTAAGTGAAATAAAATATATTAAAAAATTATTATAACATACTACTAGATATGAAAGTAGGCAAGAATGAGAGAACACATTTTCTTGCTCGCTTCTTGAGAGTAGGTCGTTCCGAAAATAATCATTAATATACTTATATGATGTACTAAAAATTGTTCTAAAATAAAATAAAAAAGTAGTTTAAATAGAAACTTCATCTGGAATAAAAATTTAGTGCAAATAGCAATTAATATAATATAATAGGGTAAAAATTTAAAAAAAGAAAAACAGTGATAGAAAGAGAAATAGCGAGAGAGAGAGAGAGAGAGAGAAAGAAAGAAAGAGAAAAAAAGAGATGGAACTATAGAAAATAAGATCCAGATCCTTATTTGCTGAAAAATTTGCTTGTTGTTGTTTACTGTGTATATAATTTGCTACTAAAACAACCCCTTTAAACACATCAAATATTCAAGAACACAAACAAATCATATGCATTTACAATGTTAACAACAATAACACACACCAAAAGCATACAAATAAACACACGCCAATTTTTTGCTTAGCAAACAACAGCGCTCACATATTATTTTCAGGAAATCTACGACTGACCGAGTCATTCATTTTCGATGAGTATATTCATACTCACCTAAGTATATGCTATGATTCATGAATCATTTGCCATTATGCTACTCTACTAAGAAATGTGTTCACATTCTTGTGAAGCTGATTCATTAGCATTGGCATTCGAAACGAATCATTTCTGTGGTGATTGTGAATGCATGTAAGTAGTGTGTGAAAAAAACATTTGTACGCATATAGATTTGGTTCTTTATGAGTGTACTCTGAGTGTTAAATTATGACTCGTTGCAGTTCTCTGGTATGTATATATAAAAGTATAATAATAAATGTAGAACAGAATGCCTATTAATAAATAAATTTTGATCAAATAAAGGTTTGATGGACTACTTTACTAATTTCAACGCAAGTTTCATAAGACATCTTTATAATATTCTATAAACATTTTTTCCTATATATATTTTATTAGTTGTAAATATCTGTTAATCACAAATCAAATCTTTTTCAACGATTATTATAGGATACAATATTTAAAAATGAATTAAATCTAATTCTGTTTAAAGTCGGGTCTGGCTAAGGCTCTTGCGGTTGAAAATCAAATGCGAAGATACAATTGTTATTGTACAATTGTTATTGTATCTTCGCATATAAAAATAAAAGTTAACATTTTCACTAATGAGTTGGCAGTATCTGGATGCACAGCACAATCTTCATTTTAAATGAGTAGCAATGCTGAAAGCTACACGCCATGTGCAACAATTGCAGCAAAAAGCCAAACAGACGAACGCATTACTGTGCCCAGGGCACAGTCGGATTGTCGGATAGTCGGATTGTGCACGCAAAAGTGTGCTTCACCGATCTTCAGCCTCAGATGTTGCAGTGCAAGAGCAGAAAAATGTTGTGCAACACGCGTTTGTCAGCATCTCGTATATGACACATGCACGCTGCAGATGCACGCCGAGAGCACAAGAAGTAAAGGTAAAAGGATGATTTTACTGTCAGCATAAATGACAAAAATCTAATTGCAACTTGCAATTTGTATCTGAAATTCAGTGTCGCTGCTGTCCGAGAAATACATGACATATGGAGTCATGTGAATATGCAGGTATACATACATATATTCCAGCTACACATTAATATGTTTATAATAATTAATAATAATATGACTTGTTGAATGCATTTTATTTTACTTTCAATTTTACTCCAATTTGATGTGTGTTATTTTATCTTAGCAAAGATTCGATTTGTGCCAAATGGAGCTTGATTATCTTCTAGTTCAGTTTAGTTCGTAGTTGAGTTTTACTATTAAGTTTTTTATAGTTCCAATTTTAAACTAGCAGAGCTGAAGCTAAAGCTTTGCTTAATAAGAGAATGTCTTCTTATTGTTTATCACACACTGAATGAATCCAGCATCCAAAATCTATATTGATTTCGAATGTGGAAAAAATGCATTTTTACTTCGTTATGCAATTCTTACACATATATAATTTAGATGCTTTAAGTCTATCATTATTTTGAACTTTATGTGTTCCAATTTGTTATCTCTACTAAAATTCATATTCTTAGGCATATTCATTTTGATTTTATTGGAATTTGAAAACCGCAAAACAATAATTTTTTTATTTTCAAAAATTCGTTCTCAGAATTAAAAATGGACAAAAGTCATGGCTAAGACTCTAACCAAAAATATTAATGACTTTTAAAATGTTTTATAGATACTTGTTGCATGTTGTTTTTCTGCAAGTGCATGTAGATATGTTAATGTTTAAATAGATGACTATTCGCTAATTAACGACTAGCTAAAACATAAAATAACTAGCATTTAAGAATGTTAGATAGAATTTGATGTGGAACAGTGAATGTCGACTGCGCATATTAAGGAACCCTGATACGATATACATATTGGCGATCAATATCGAAGTATTATTATTATTATTATTGTTAGGGGGGTCCATTGTGCACTCAACTGGGCTTAAAAGCCATGTTGCGTCAATAAAAAGTAGTATAGAACCTACTTTACAGAGTTTTATTGCCTCTTCCGTAAGAACAAATATCGAAGTATAAACTAAGGTAATTAAATTTTTAAAAACGAAAATTAGTGTTCTTTCAAAGATAGCAAATAAAACGAAAAGAATACGAAAACTGAAAGTAAATCTACTCGTTGTTGTTGAAAATCGGGACTGTACTCAAGAACAAATGTACTTAATAATATAATATAAGAACATATTTGATGGACTACTGTTAATTTATTTTAGAATAATAAAAATTTACACTTACAAAACAAAAAAGAATACAACTGACAGAAGCTATATTAACTGAAACTTCAGCCTTCTGTCGTTTATTTCTATATAATATTATTATAGATATTACCCGACAGATATTTATATAGTAAGTAAGGAAGTGTTATAATATAATTAGAAATATATAAGATTGAAATTATTATTCTCTGTGCTTTGATATAATTATTTGTAGTTTTTTTTTAATATATTTATTGTGGTATAATGTATCTTCAATGCTATTGCATATAACATGCTGACAACATCGGTGAAAAGCTTCCTATGTTATTTTACGTAGCATTCATCACCTTGCAGGCCTAACACTACGGTACTCAAAAGCACAACGTCTTAATATAAAGCGTCAAGCGACGCCCCATTGGAATAGCCTTCCTTATTCCGCCGGTACCAATGAAGATAGTGTGTTAGTCAAATTTTCCATCTTGGTTAGATGCAAAACTCATCTAAAATTTATGCTTCAATGTGGGCTGTAGCACCCAGTATGAATACGCAACTCCACGCTGAATGAATGATAAAACAAATACCTGATTATTCTTCCCGCGTAGGTTTGGGTATCAACCACAACCACTACGAGTCCGACCTCATATGGTCAGAACAGCAGAAGCTCCGAGCCTTTCTGATCGCCCGTAGTACCAGAATGTCACATCTGGTCAGGCGTCGCAAGTGGAAACTATACTCGCTACCATTTACACTCCATAACACAAGTGCAAGATTGGCTCTGTGATTTTAGTCGCCTCTTACGACCGGCAATCCTAACTGCGGAAGAATTCATCGGAGACAAAACGAAATTCTTATTAATAAAAATACTTAGTTGTCTTATTGCCTTCATATTAAAATCAGTTATATGCAATTAAACATTACTTTAGCTATAAGATTTAAGATTATCTTTCTGCAGAATACAGTTAGAGAATATAACTTAAGAGCTACGCTTCAACTTTAAAAAATTATAAACTCTGATCATTATAACTAATATTAATTTTAATATTATCCATATAAGTTCTGGAAACAAAATATTCGTTTTGGTAAGCTAAAGAGGAATATATGAATGAAAATCATCACATTTAACCCCATCATATAATGAGTAAGTGATATATTAATGCTTTATTGACTAAGTCAATTATGAGGAAATGTGAGTAATGTAAGAAGAAACCATTGAAGTTCTTGAGAGGTGGATTAAAAATATTAATTAGATTAAATAATTTATTGGTATTAAGTTCATATTAATAATTTACATTTTTCTTATATGTAATTAATTTACATATATCTAGCCAGTAATTTTACCATTATGTTTAAGTTTATATGTTCAACAAGTAACCATTACACAATTTTATAATTTCATACATTTCAGTAAATTACGCCCCTGTTAAATAAAATGGAATTCAATATTCATGATGTTTTATAAGAGAACAAAAGCAAAGTAGGGCAACAATAAAGCTAGAGACAGACAATATAAGTTGATTTACAAGAACAAAGTAATTGTCGCGTAAAGCACATGAGCTGATATCTGGAGAGAAATTATAGTCAAACTGCACATTGACAGTGCAGTCAACCTAAGAAAGTGTCTCTTTCTATAACTGCTTTCTAATCATGAAAACATATTTATTTATATTTTGTATATATGTGGGCCCAGAGGTGTATTTGCATGGCATGTCGATATGTGTATTGTATGCATTATTTTTTTAAAGTTCCTCTGCTATATAATTTTGAATAGATAAGAAATTTTAAAACACTAAGGAATACAATATAATAATTTTAACTTCAATCAAATAATAATAAAAACATCACTTAAAAAAGTTAAATAGATAAGCATATAACAATCACATTAGAAATGTTTAAATGTGTACTAAATAAAACTCCTAAGTTGAAGCAGTGCTGATGTCAAATCGGTGTTCTGACACACTGTAGGTTGTAGCTTTCAATAACAACGGGATAACACGTTCTTGATGTACTGTTTTAAGTGCTAATAAAATAATTTAGAATAACTTCAAACAATATGGAACCTCGATACAAATTTACCATAGGTACTATATGAATATTTTATTTAAAAAATACTTTTATTTTATCAATTCATAACAATTTAAACAATTTAGGACAAAAGGTAGCGTACTTGCATATGCTTGAAGTGCATGATGCAGAAATATTGGATTGCATGACAAAGACTGATGATTCGATTATATATTACATACATTACGCTATAAAGGGACAGAAGTAATTATATTGTATATTTTAAGTTTCGCTACTATTTATATATTATATTTTAATTAAATATAGTTATATTGAATGGGTCCCAGAACGTAGTATTCTTAAGCTTGGTGATTTTGAGATTAAGCTTTATCTAGAATTCGGTAGAAAATGGAAGGAAAATGATAAATTCAATGTCTTTCAAAAAGGTTAATTTATTATTAAATAAAATATGCAAAGTTATATGCAAAGTTAACATTTCTATTTACAGTGAATCCGAATCCCGGTAATCCATTTCCTTTGATGACTGCAGCGCACTTAACTGACTTTTTACAATCATTACCATCGCCTGCGGACTGCTTTGCATATCCCGTACCTAGAATTGAGCAAAACGAAATTGAATTACATAAAGTTGACGAATATAATGAGAACCCGGTTGAAATTATCAGTGTGGCATCGTCAAATGAACGCCAAAATAATGATAACAATGATAATAACAATGATGATAACAATGATGATAACAATGATGATAGCAATGATGATAATAATGTTGATAACAATGACGATAGCAATGATGATAACAATGATGATAACGATGCTGATATCGATGATGATGATAATGATAGCAATGATTATAACAATGATGGTAACGATGCTGATATCGATGATGATGATAGCAATTCTTATAACAATGATGATAACAATGATGATAACAATGCTGATAACAATGATGATAGCGATTATGATAGCAATGATGATAACAATGATGCATGCAGTGATGATAACAATGATGCATGCAGTGATGATAAGAATGATGCTTATAATGATGATAACAATGATGCTTGCCATGATGATAACAATGATGCTTGCAATGATGATAACAATGATGCTTGCAATGATGATAACAATGATGCTTGCAACGATGATAACAATGATGCTTGCAATCATGATAACAATGCTGCTTGCAATGATGATAACAATGATGCTTGCAATGATGATAGCAATGATGCTTGCAATGATGCTTGCAATGATGATAACAATGATGCTTGCAATGGTGATAACAATGATGCTTGTAATGATGATAACAATGACAATTCATGTGATGAGAAATCTGAACCAATTTCAACCAATTCCAAGTAGTGATTTTATATTGACGTACATATTGAAACTAAGAAAACTTTGAACAAAAAAATATCATCACAACAATTAACTTATTATAATAAATTCATCTTATTTGTTAAAAATTCTTAGTAAACATTATGCTTAATAAATAATCATAGAGATTAAATGACTGCAAAATTTAATTCAAAATGTATGTATAAAATTAATCAAAAGAAAAAAATAAGGCATAAAATTTTCAGATGATACAGATGATTTATATATATATGATTATTATATCATTTTTTATATATTAGAGTATCTTTACAAATATGTTCATGACTTCAACATAACGAAGGTAGAGAAAAATGGCGTCTATTATGCCCTAAGCGCCACTCACAGAAATGAGCCAAAAGGTCTCTAAAAATTGTATGTGTAATATATATTATATATGTATATATAATACATGAATATAGTTCGCAAGAAACAAATAAGTTATCTTGCCAGTTATGTTCGCAACAGAACTGGTTAATAAGATTCACGTAAGGGAGGATATAGGCATTTTTGTATTTAATTGAACCATAGAGATTTATCTTTTACTCTACAAAAATATCCATAGTTTACCAGGCCCATAAAAAGAAATGAACCTTAGCAGGTTCTAGAAGATAAGAGATTAAGTTGTGCAACTTTTGCAAAAAAAACGGTTGTAAGGTTTATTATAGAAACAAAGAGCATACAAAATTTATAATATATAAGATATTTCGGAAAATAGTCAGAATTTGAAACTCCGTAGAATCGGGCGAATTTTTTCACAAGCAGGTCTTGCTATATCACTTGTCAAAATATGTAATGATTATGCGACTTGTGAGTGAAGTGAGTGAAGATTTAAATGAATCTATTTTTGCAACCCGCAACCTCGGATAATAAAATTCTAATTAAAGAAGTTCCGCGTAGGAGCCTACGCAGTACTTAAAATGGTTGCTGCACTTCACCCACTGATGTGTGAAATAGATTTGAGGTTTGCAGTAAAAACTTCCATCTGGACAAGTAGAATATTGCATCCGACAACTGCAATATTTGACAGAATAAACAAATAAACAAATCAATTAAATTTTGAGTTGAACATTGAAGTGAAGTGTTTCAAAGTCGTTAGCTGCATTGTTCGAATTTGCAGTTTTCACATTGAAATCAATATGAAATGCAATTATACTGCGAATCGGAGAGTGTTGGTGCCAAAGTTATGCTGGCCTGGATCTGAAGGTTGTTCGAGCGAATACCTCATTTCGAATGATGATGGCACAATATTATATTAATCACTAATGGGCATTCATGCACTTGAGCACAGCTTTACTTTATTTATGTTTATTTAATTCAGCATGAATGAAATACTCGTACATGTGTAGCAGATGCACATGGAGACAAACATTTTATGAGTGCAATAAATATTGCAATAATTTAAATGCAATGCAGTTTTGAATGCAAAACTTACAACTTACATTCATGAACGAAGTGCACTTTTTTCACAGCAGACGAAAATGTGAGCGAAGTGTTGCAGCTGCATTTGCTAACAAATTCACGTGGGCCCCTAGGTAGCCGGTTTTGAGGTTTCCATAGATGCGTGCACTTGCCGCTCTCAACTTGCCACCAAAGGCGCTGTCGCAGATGCACTGAAGGCAGCAATTGAAGCAATTAACGCAGTTTTAAATTAACGACTTAAATAATTGATTTGTAAATCGCGCTTAAACTTGAAATTTTAGCTAATAAAGCTTATTAAAAAGTGATGGTAAAATTATTACTTACGAGTATATTGATTATTGCTTACTGCATTTATTAAATGTTTTGTATTATAAAAATATATAAATTAATTGCGATCTGCATAATACAAAACGAGTTAATCGATTTCGATTGTCAATAATAATGCTTATGTCAACAAAAATTAAAATAGTCACAGGTTTAATTGGTACTATGTTAACATGCTGTTTTCTATGATTTACCCACAGATCTACTTGGATATATAATTTATTTTCTTATATTGCGATCTTAGATTAATCTGTTTTTTGATTGAAAACGTTGAATAAAAGCAATATTTGAAGAAGCAGCAGTTCCCCAGAGTTTAATGCCATATGTACAGATTGGTTGGAGTATAGCTTTGCAGAAAAGAAGTTTATTTTCGACTGAGAGCTTTGAGACTTTTGTTCAGTACTCAGTAAGCTCACGCAGTCTGATGCCAAGTGCCTTTCTATTTGTAAAAATATGGTTCTTCCAAGTTAGTTTTCGTGTCAAAGTGTATTTCTAAATATTTCGCTTGGGTAGGTTGAGGGATTAAAACATCGTTAAGGCGTACCGGTGGGCAATTTTTCCTTCTCATTGTTCTCATTATTTGTGAACACTGACTCATTTGCTTTTATTCTCCAGGTTTTAAGCCACTGGGAAATGTCATCTAGCGCTCGCTGAAGTTTGTTAGATGCTAACTGGTGATTTTCGTTTGTAGCAATTATCACAGTATCATCGGCAAAAGTTCCAATGTCAGTACCAATGATGGTAGGCGAGTCGTTAGTGAAGAGTAAGTATAACACAGGTCCCAAGACACTGCCTTGTGGCACTCCAGCATGAATTGGCTGCAATGTTGAAATTTCTTCCCCTCTTTTACAAAGAAATATCGTGATTCGATGTAGTATTTAAAGAAAATATAGTAATTAGTTAGGAGCATCTTTTAAATATATAGTAATAAACTATGTCTTGCAACTATAAAATAGCTAATTACAACAGTTTCCTTTTTACATTAAAAATAGGTATTTGTAGATAAGTTATATTGTAGATAAGTTATTATTTTTTGTTTATTTGTGAGTTAAGATTAAAATTAATTTTAAAGTTAACTAAGAGTAAGGAACTGGAGTACTACCTCCTTCGCCCTATGATATTATTGTTATTAGTACTGGTGGTTGACAACTTCAATTTTTGTGTTACAAGTTCAACAGGAAAAATCCACTACTCTTCTATATCTGGAGTTCCAGAACTCATGACTGTTGAATAGCTATTAAAAAACAGTAATAGTTACCACATACGTGAAATATTCAGTGTTAGACTTAAAACCGATTTCACAGTCATAACTTAAATCTCAAAACTAAATTTAGTGTAAATTAAATCAGTAAAATTGTTGACTTAAATCAGTATTTATAAGTTAGGACTGAAAAATGTATCCTTAATGTTTTAAATATTGTCAAATTATAAAAAACATTTTTACAAAAATATTTTAAAAGCTATCTCCGACTAATCTAACTTAAATCTGCCTTGAGACTTAACTTGCGTTTGAGAAAGCTGCACTTTTAATTTTAAATACTGTCAGAGTATAAAATATTACAATAATATTTTACAACTTATATAATGTGACTATCTTCCACTTATCAATCGGCCCTTTTATGTGCTTAAAGATCTTTCAAACATATTCAGAGTTGATCCATTGATGCAACTTTTATTAATACTTAAATCGTGTAAATATGTGAGGCTGGGAGGTCAGTTCCAACATGAGATGCCTAAAAGCTTTAAGATCACATTAAAAAAAATTGATTTGCTCTTAAAATTTAAATTAAATTAAATTATTTAATTTATATCAAAAGCAAATCAAAACAGAGTTTTAAGCAATTATTTCAATGAATTAAACTTATACTACTTTCACACTGTCTCATTTAGGCACTTGCCTATTAAATTAATTAGTGAGTGAGTAATAAGTGAACGTACACATTATAATGAAATCATTTATGCAGTTCATATAACTTTTATAATCTTCATCTAATAATATATCATACAAAAAAATTAAATATATAACTGATATATTAAGTCAACTATATACATTTCATATATCAATTATATATTTAGTTAATAAAAACTCACCCTCAGTGCCTTTGTTTACAGCTCAGCTGTTGATTGTTTACATTTCACATATAAAACATGTGTCATATGTACAAATTTTGGTAATTTCCCTTGTGGGAAATTAATTTTAAGGGTTGCTTCGACATTTTTCACCTAAATGAGCTGATATATTAATAATGAGGTCACATCTATGAAAGTACCTAAATGAGATAGTGTGAATGTGCTATTATTTTATATAAAATATTAATGTTATGTCACTTTTAAAGTTGCATTTTACGATTATTGTGATTTAAATGAAGGATTTAATTTTATGCAAGGTTCTTTAAATTGCATTAGAGAAATCACAGATTTCATGATTAATAGATATAATATTGTTGACATAAAGTTTATATAATTTGAACCGTAAAGAATTCTTTTTAAGACGTAATATGAAATAAAAAACATAAAGGTTTTATAATTAATTACAAATCGTTTTGCTCCCAAAGCGTCCATTCTCAATTGAAAATATATCAATATTTAATAATTTTATTCGTGTGCAAAAACAAATATAAATATTATTAAAGCGAAACATAAAGCGATTTGAGACGTCTTTAAAATTGTTCGGGGCATTGATGTTAACCTCAAATTGCAACACCAAAAGAAGACATAAACATTTTTACGAGTATCATTTCCTATAGATTTAGTTCTTTGTGCTGGAAACTTTTATGACTCTTGAAACTGAAGCAATATTTTTACAATTGTATTTTGGAGAGAACAATATAGGAAACATAGTAACAGATATAATTTTTAATGATGCTATGTATTGATTTATGCATACAAACCCACCAGCCGTGGGCGCGTGGTGTTTCGATTTTATTTCAATCGAAAGTCCATACTAAGTACGACTTGAAAGTAACATAAGAGAAGGAAGTCTCACTATTCGTACTTGTAGCGATATTACGTAAAATACCACGTCTATTGAAAATGTTTCAATTTTATTAAAATATTTATTGTTGTTAGTTTTGAAATCTTTTAATTAGTTTACTTAATGTGATTTTGAATTATTATTCAATTGTATTGGAGCATATTGTCGGGAAATAAATCAACGAAAATATACAATATAAAAATTATAAATGTTATCAATAATTTGTTGAGTGCATAGGTATGTAATGAAGATGGAAATGTGTAATGAGCTTAAGATGCACTTCTCATGCACTTTTACAAGTTAAATAATCAAGTTGTTGATATCGACGGAAGTGTGTTTTTACACTTAAGCT